ATATATATATATATATATATATATATATATATATATATATATATATATATATATATATATATATATATATATATATATACATATATATATATGCAAGTAAATCATAGGTGCGCTGTGATCTAGGTATATGCTGGTAACCAGGAAAGAAGAAAAACACGAAGTTCCAAGCGCTGTAATTCACATCTTCAGGGTGAGTACAGACTAGAGAGAGTAATACAAATCAAGGTGTATATATACAGAGGAGGGTGAGACCAGGTCCACAATGGTCAGGTATTAGATAATGACCTTACTAATCTTAAATAGCAACAACAAAGGTTGGTGGTCAGGTCAGATGGTCAAGTGACCCGCCTTCTACCTGATCACAAATCTTTTAATTACAAATTGTCCAGCTTGTACATGCCGCTACTCAAATTCATGTTGGATGCTGCATAGTTTATATATATATATATATATATATATATATATATATATATATATATATATTATATATATATATATATATATATATATATATATATATATATATATATATATATATATATATATATATATATATATATATATATATATATATATATATATATATATATATATATGTATATATATATATATATATATATATATATATATATATATATATATATATATATATGTATAGTTACGACCGTGTCGTATTTTTCTATTTTTTTATGATTTGTTCAAACCCATTTTAATTGTATCAGCATTCTTGTTCTTCAATCCACCATTCGTATCGCAACTTAATCTAATCAAGTAGTCGCGTGGCAGGAACCGACCTTATATATAGGACCCACCAACTGACGGAGTTAGTTCAGTCCTCTTGTCGTACAGTTCACATCCTTTGAGTGACACTCGTCACCTGTTTCTTATACTTAATTTATTTGTGTTGTTCCTGTCGCCACCAATGTGGTATATCTGAGTACCTATTTATGTCCATCAGTATTTGCTTCGTTACATTTCAGTAATTCAGTGTTGTTTCACGTTAGTTAATTTCAGTGTTAGTTTTTATATGTTTATGCAGTGTTAATGTAATCCAATGCTTTATTTTTATTCTCTTGAGGTTTCGATGTTTATTATCATTTGTGTCTTAAAAGTTTCGATGGTGAATCAATTTGTTGACAGCCTACGAAGCTCTTTATTGTGTTAATTAAATTCTTAAAAGTTTACTTTATTTATTTTTATTCCCTTTTAATTTACTTCACTTTTTCTTGTTTGGTTACGCCTAGAACCTGGATATTTAAGTAAATTAAGAGACGGCGTAACAGTGTATGTTCATTAAATATTAAAAAAAAAATTATTGCAGATCGTACCATGCAAGGAATAAAATAAAGGTTTATAAAGAGAATTCTCCCAGCCATCGAAACTTACGGCCTCACAGAGGAGGCCGTGAAAAAATTCACAGATCACAGAAAAGGTAACATTTACTTTCTTCATTTTGATTAAATAAATGAGAGGTGACATTATAATGAACTTAATGAGGTTACGTTCCAAAACAAGCATACACTGTAACTCAAAAAGCCCAATAAGTAGAATTCTGACCGGTTGGCAGCAGCAGCAATAATAATAATAATAATAATTCAGATAAGTAAAATTTATAATAAAAAATACAAAAATAAAAATAAAACAGATAACAATAATAAAACTGAAAACTCTGCAATAATAATAACAACAACAACAACAACAACAACAACAATAATAATAATAATAATAATAATAATAATAATAATAATAATAATAAATAATAATACTGCAATAATAAGGAACCATAAAAAAAGATCATTAGTGAGAAACGATATATGATGATGTGTTGTCAATAGTAAGAGAAACAATTGAGACCCTGCAATTGTGTGTAAGTGAGTTAGAAAGTCAGATCATCAACCTGGGACTTGGTCACAATTTTTGTGATGCCATATGGCAGCAGGGTCTACCATTAGACCTGTAGAATAAGAAATATAGCTGGAGTTCAGATTGAGATGTAAAAATACTACAAAATACAAGATATTACATGTAATATCGGCTCAGAATGAACACTTACACAGCGAAGAAAGGTCGAGAAACTTTATCGGCCTACAGTAGTAGTCCAAAAATCCGGACCGCTTGGGGATTGGGTCGGTCCGGATTTTCGGATTTTCTGGATTCTCAGGCAGTACTTTTAAAATTCAAATTTCAGGAGAAATAAAGAAGAGATGAACAGGTACATTTTGATAGTTTATTCATTAGCAAATATAGCATGCTTCATTTATCTAAACGAGCAGTTTTAAAGATAAAGCTGTGAATTCTAAAATTTTATTATTTGCCTTTTTTATATCATAAATTGTAGACTTTCCAATGTCATATGTTTCCATTAGAACAGTATTGCTCACACCACGTTCTAGTTTCTTAATTATTTCAAGTTTGTCACTCAATTTCAACGTGTTCTTCTTTCTCTTCACACAACGAAGTTTATCTACTTTAGGAGCCATTATTATGGGCTTGTACAGTACTCTGTAAATGAAAAGAGTAGGACTCAAAATTTCATACGTTGTCACAGTTTGATTGCTTGTTTTAAAGTGGCGACTGCGTGGTCGCTGTGCAGCTGTGGTGCTCATGCATGCACAAATACACACAAAAGCCAGCTAAATTAAAAAAAACAAAAAAACAAAAGTTTGAGTTTTCGAAAAGTCCGGATTCTCGGGTGGTCCAGATTTCTGGCATCCGGATTTTTGGGCTTTTACTGTATATCTCAAAATTAACTTTTCCAACACTCGGACTGGAACTTTTCTGCCAATTTTTTACCGATTTCAATTAAACAAACACTGAGTACAGGAAGAACCTTTCCTCAACATAACCCTAGGGTCCAATTTTTTCTATCTTAAGATTCATTTTTGGTTGAATATCTAATCAAGATATTCAGACAATTTTCAACCAAACTTGAATTTTTTTATTCATAAAACCAAAACCAAAAACAAACATATCGCCCTGGACAATTCCATGGTAATACTAGATCTCTTAGTACTATCAATTTCAAGGCAAAATAGAAAGAAGTAATGGAGAAATTATACCTTAAAAATTTAGACAAATAATAGAAAATGCATAAAGGGTTGAAAATTTTGAAAGGGTAGAAGGGGGTTATGGGGCTAGAATTGATGTACTGTATATATAATCCTTGATTGATGACGGGAATATCATAACAATCGACCCAAATTAAAAGCACCTACACCAAAAACCGGATTATCCTCTCAAGTCACTAATAAAAAGGTTTCACGCAAATTTTCAAAAGGATAAAACATCATACATCTGGACACTGTACTGCCAGTATGTCAAAATAAAACTGGCTAACTGCAGTAAATGAACCCTGATAATACAATGAACCCTGATAACTATACAATGAACCCTGATAACTATACAATGAACCCTGATAACTACACAATGAACCCTGATAACTATACAATAAACCCTGATAACTATACAATGAACCCTGATAACTATACAATGAACCCTGATAATACAATGAACCCTGATAACTATACAATGAACCCTGATAACTATACAATGAACCCTGATAACTACACAATGAACCCTGATAACTATACAATAAACCCTGATAACTATACAATGAACCCTGATAACTACACAATGAACCCTGATAACTATACAATAAACCCTGATAACTATACAATGAACCCTGATAACTATACAGGGAATTTCCATTTCAATTTACAAGAGACCAAAATAAACCTACACATAACTAGTAGCTACACAGCCCTGACCATACTTATAATCACTGTCAACACAGTAGACAAGTGTAGAGGGTAAAATTTTCATGTAAGTATCGACAATTTCCACCAAATTAAAAATAACCTCTGTACGTGCTTAACTTAGATATTTGCTCAACTCTAAAGTGTGCACGTTAAACCAAGGCAATGCACGATGATGTTAACCCAGAGAGCATAGAGTACTGTACATTAACTATGACAAGTAGCAGCAGGACAAGTAATTCTTGTTCATAAATCAGTACTGAGACACAATCATTAAAAACCTCAATATATTCAGACTCTGGGTATATTGTGGCCTGTAAGTCAACTTTTGAAGCTCCAGTTTTTGTGTTCAAAACTTGGGGTCACCTTATACCACAGGTCTACCTCCAGCCTCACTTTACCTTACTGGTAGGTCTCAGTCAGTCCAGCACTCGCAAACAAGTTTGACCTCGAAGTTTGACCTCACTAACATTTTTCCAGAAGGGTAACTGTTACTGAACTCAGCCTAAGGTCGGTGTTTACACTAGTCACACCAACACATAAATGTTAACAACAAACAAACATTACTAGGACAATTACTTGTAGTATTTGTTGTTGTTTTGTTCAAAAATACAATTACAGTATACAGTATTCATATAATACTACTGGATTTTGTTAACATTTACACAAATGTGTTGTGAACATGACAGATGCCTGTGGGGCAGCTCTGCCAGTATTGCCAAACACTTGTTGAATGTTACTAATTTCATCCCTGAAGTTGTTAAATACATAAAACATCTGGAGAAATACAGGTACATGTAAGACATTATTTAAAAAGAATAATAGTTAACTATGACTGATGAATGCCAATAACTGTCACAAGTGGCATTAAAGTTAGTGAAAATTATAAACTTAACTATGAAGTCAACAGCTGAACACAATCATCCTCTCTGTTGTCCCAACCATTGTAAAAATTATCAATAACATGTAATAAATCAGTGTATTCACTCCCAGTAAACACTGCTCCCTACACTGTCACTATGTTGAAATGAACTGTAGTTTGAGCTGATCCCTATCTAAGTTATTATATGTCTTATTTGTGTCACTTGTATATTATTTGTAATTCGTAACCCATTCCCCAAATATGTAACTGTATATTTTCAGCCTTCTGGCTGCCAAGCTCTTTCAATAAACCGTTAATTATTATTATTATTATTATTATTATTATTATTATTATATCCTACATGTATTTATTTATATGTACTGTACCACAATTATTATCTACATGTATAGGACTGTTTATAGTACATTATATGTACTGTAAAGCAGGCCCTTAAAATTCGTGGGGTTAGGTTCTCAAAATGGCACGAATAACATTTACCGACGGGGGCGGTGCAGGGTTACATTTTTACCTGTGTGTAGAGAAATGTATATTCCCTTTATGTGTTTCACCTAAAGACAATTATTTCTTTTCCCTGTGTTGTAATCAACCAGTGTGTTCACTCTCAGTCAATCTTACCTTTTTTGCAGTCACTATGTTGAAATGCCCTGTAGTATAACCTTCCCCCCACCTAGTTATTATTTATCATATTTAGATCACGAGAGAGACCTTACGGGACGCCACAAAACTCGCGTGCTCCCAGCACCAGCAGCAAAAATGTCGGCAATTTTAAAACTACCCGCAGACATTTTTGGGTACATCCAGGGTGTCATCCGCAAACAATCGAATGCAGCAAAATAAAAATTTGTGAGTTATCTGGGGATGCAGTACTGTATTAATCTTATTGTCATTACTCACCGAGTGTACAGAGTATCTTATATATTTTTAATCTTGTACGAACTGTATTATTGTGATTTGTTTACACCATTCATGTGCCCTGGTAACATTTGTTTGTAAGAAAACTAACACTAAAAGGTATTTTAACATTTTGAAAATGTTACATTTAGGTAAAACTTGTTTGAGTGCTGTTAAAAAGTATGTTTAGCAAACACTGAGGACATAGTTTTCAAATTGCAGTTTATAGATCGACTTATCTGCCAGGTATGGGCCCACATTAACAATTTATGTTGAAATAATTAAGGTCGTCTTATACGCCGGGCCGACTTATGGGCCGCACTATACGGTAAGTTAATGCAAATAACATGGGATGATTAGTTGCCTCCTCTTGAATTGCAGTAAGACATAACAAGTCATATATACAGTGACAATTTATTATGAGGGACTTAAAATTAAGAAAATAATAAATATGACTTATCTTGAGGGGACATGTTCTTCTGGCACCGTGGGCTGGACACTCATAACAGACTATAAACATGGCATTCCCCGAGCTAGGACCTTGTTCAAAAGCCAGAACAATGTTGATTCTATAGGTTAACGACCATACAAAACAACATATCCCACACACAACAAATATAAATTCTGTAAATAAAGTTGTTAAACAATATTATGTAAGAAATGGGATTTTAGTTACAACCCTGACCATAAAAGTCTTATCCCATACAAAAATAATATAAATACTACAGTAGTTGTACTGTAAATAAAGTCATGCTAAACAATAATTAATGTGAAAAAATACTTTAATTAGATATTTCTGTGGTATACTACGTACAGTACCGTATTGGGACCCCATTCTTAAGTGCAGGTGTGTGTAACTCAAGGACTGCCTATAGTAACAACAAAAAGACAACTCAACAAAGTTTTCTTATACAAAATGGTGATTATGTTGGGAGACTTAACACTACCAAAATAATAACTCATAACACAGTCCTCGGAGCCTACCTACCCAACTGACCAGCACCGTTTTGTCCACAATTGGTCTGCAACACTGAAATGAAACAATTACTTCCATGTACAGTGTAAACATATAGAACATGTCATCCAAAATTATAGTTTTATATTACATTATTTCTAAGATTCATTAGAGTATTTTAATGATTATTCCACATCTTCTATAGTTTATATAAAAACAATGCCATCTGCCAGTTATCCCCCACACTTAATGTTAAGGTTTTCATCCCCACCATTAAACAACCTGTAATTCTTTTAAATGTTCAGTGCGATATTGTCCAATTAAAAAAAAATTCCACTGTTGCTGTTATAAGAATTTGCTATATATTCCTTGTTAATACTATAGGTTAAATATATGGCTAAATTTACACTTTTGTCTGAGGAGGAGCAGTCAGATGTCTTCACCTACAGATAAACCGACGCTAGAAGTCGAGTGACGGCAGCTGTACTGTCATACTCTACTGGAATGTATCACGACTAGACGTGGGTTAAGGTTTCCCAGTTGTTGACAATCAAATCACTGAGAAATACCACAATAATATCATTATTGTACAGTACATACCTTATTGTGCTGTCAGACCAAACACCAGGGGATTACACTGTCTTTAAGTCTCTGAAGATCCACTGTTTTGGGAGTTATGTGTCAGCACCTGTATAAAAGATTATATCTCATATATGGTGCATTGTATTATATTACCAGTAGTTCCTTATTTCACACAATACATAGTTCTCTTTGGTCATGCTGTTTGACTGCAGTTAACCTACTCTAACCCCCACCAGATAGCATTAAGGATGTTTAATTGTCAGGTGAAATAAGCAAAGGTGTTTAATCGTTGGTCAGGTGAAACAAGCTAGGATGTGAATCATTTAGATCCCTAGATATTCTACACCAACAACTTCAATCACACATACAAATTATTAAACCTCCACTACAAGTCCACTACAATGGGGATGTCTGATGTGAAACCCCCATCTAATGAACATCCCCTTCCATATATAGTCCATTAGATAAAGGTTACACTGTACTTATAAAGCCAAGAAGGTTACTCACCAAGTGAGGGTCTGGGATGCCTCTCAAAAGGCAGCGGCAGATGCAACCAATCCGTCGCCTCCGTCTTTCAATAAAACAGTACAATCAGCAGGCAAGACATCTTTCCCTTCTGTAGCTATTCCTCTATGTTGGCTTCATGACTGGCCAGGACTTCCTTAATGTTTCGCTGTGGACTGTATTGTTCTCTCGTACTGAATCCATGGAGAAAAAGAAAAAAGGAAGCTAATATTACATTTAACAAAACAAGAATTTTGCTCCATTACCTATAAATATAAAAAGTGCAGCGTCAATACAGAAGCTAATTATTCTTGTTCCTTGTCCTGAAAGGTTTTCAAGGAAGATACCCATTTGTACAGCGAGGGGTGCCTGTATTATCTACAATTAAATCTCCAGACTCAACACTAAGATGGCAGTCATCACTAAACAACAAAACTTTATAATTAACACTACAGTAATAGGTAGGCCATGTACATTAAGGAAGAGTAAAGGTCTTAGGGGACTTAACCTGAACAATAACTAGTGTGACAGATTTGAAGTAGTAAGTAAAACAGAATATCTGGCACAAATGAAGCATTTAGGATAAAACACAAATGGTAATTGTGTTAAGGTATGAAGTCCAAGGAAAACAACTTGAAAGAATCAGGGGATTTTTCAACCAGACAGCAGAAGCCTTAGCCAGTGTTTCTTAATGAACTTTATACTCTGACTGACAATAGCCCAGACAAGCTTGATGCACAAGCTTAGTGTAATAGTGCAGCTGCTTTAAGTGGAGTTCATACACGTGTTCAGGCATTTTATTCATTGCCATGCACACCAACATTTGCAACAGGCAACATCACAAAATAGTCAGAATATTTTGCAATAACCAATCAGGAATACCAAAATTGTTTCATCATCTCCACAGACAATGACTGCATTGAAAACGTTGCTTGCCATAAAATTCCCAAACCATCTGAAACACACTAGAATTTTAAAAGCAGAACAGTCAAGGCAGTACTGCATGAAGTGAAAGTTACAGGGTCTCAGTTGTCTCCCTTACTATTGACAACACAACATAAATAACTTTTCTCACTCTTGATCTGTTCTATTCTTTTTATTCTATTCTTTTATTCTCCTATATCAGTTGACAGTAATATTGAACCAGGCCTCCTGGGATGTGTCCCACTGGTCGGGAAGGTTGTGGACCCAAAGGCCGACCTGATCATCATCAAACTACTGGGGCCTCAACTGACGTCACCGCGGTTGCTGGAGGATCAGCTTTTTTCACACTTCATTTTTCCAACATTCTCGGCCCGAGATCCAATTTTCCTTCTGTGGAGCACCATCTATTAACCTCCTCTCCCGACCTCTAACTACTATCTGAACTTCAACTGACCAAAGCAGCTTCACCCAAACTACAACCTTTATACCTCCTTCCGTTCTAAGGGAGGTGTATGCGCCTACTGCAACACACATACGCCTATAGCTCGACTCACGGATCTTGAATCTTCCCTTTATGATGTCATCTGGCCCAAAATATCTCTGCCAACTACAGGTCCACAAACCCTTACCTGAAACCCTTGGTGTCATGGTCACGTTGACTGCTAGTCTGTTTTAACACTAATGATTCTTATTATACTCCACGAACGCAAAACATGAGTGGGTTAGCTATTCCTAAGAGAGACGTGTTTGTCCCCATGACGTTTATACTCACGATCCCTCCCAGTAAGTCCCGCCTTGTGAAGACAGTTGTCAATGCGTTTTTCATTCCAATTTTTCCTGGCAAGCTCAATCTTGGATTAGTTTGTGTTAATCAACTCCAGTAATTCGCCAGACCTTTGTCAACTGAGGGCCATCCTTGAATGAGTGACAGTTGTTTGTTTGTGATTTCTGTCATTGAGTGAGTAGCAATCGCTGGCAACTCGGGTATATAACCACGGGCGCGAGGAAGAGACGTCCTCCATAACGCGTCCTCTCCCGTTGTCCCCAGGTATGTAGCTGTGTTCTCCCGCCGATATAACCATTCAGTTTGATTTAGTCAATTGTAGTGAATTATCAGTGTTCATGTTGTGACTGTGATTGTCATTCACCCAGTGTAAGAAGTAATATAAAGTAAATGTAGTCTGACGTTGCCAGACGAAGGAATTGTTGTGATCGAGTTGTCCATGCTGGTAGTATGTCGCTGGCCTTCGGGTATATAACCGCAGGCGAGAGAAGGCGTCCTCCATCGCGTCTCTCCCGTGTCCCCAGGTATGTAGCTGTGTTTCTCCACGGTATATTCATTAAGTTTGATTTAGTCATTGTAGTGAATTATCAGTGTTCATGTTGTGACTGTGATTGTCATTGGCCCAGTGTAAGTAATGTAAATAATGTAGTCTGACGTTTGCCAGGCGAAGAATTGTTGTGTTGAGTTGTCCATGCTTCCCTCCATAATCGTCCTCTCCCATTGTCCCAGGTACAGGGGTGGGGGCTTAATGAACACCGACCGGTCGCTCGAGCCGGTGGATATTCAGCAATGATAGCATATATGAGCGATGGCGCTGATTCGGTATGATTAATCTGTTCACTGCCTCGTGGAGCTAGACCCCCAGACTGCGCCATGTGTCTGGCTACGATCACAGCAGCGGTCGTGAGCCCCAGTGTCTCTCCTGGAGGCATTCCTGTATTGTATTTACTGATGTTTATGTATATGTTTGGGATATTAATTGGAAATAATTATCCCATGTTGGATGATGGACATGTATGAGTTGGTTTCAGTAATAACATGTTGAGTACCAAAGGGACCATATGTCAGTTGGTCATGTATGCAATGAAATGTATCACCAGTAATGTGGGTGAAGTAAGTACCACTGGGATTGGCAGTTGAGAGAAAGCCAGGAGTTGTCAAGTAACTATGTATATGTAACACCAGTAGGTTATTAATGGAAATTACAGGATCGAGTAATTGCAGTTGAGTAAGCGAGGAGTTGCACCTTGAGGTGATATGTTAATATCTTTTTCCTTTGTGTTTCATATTAATAAACCTGTTCTTTAAGTGTTTTAAGTGTTCATTTTCACTACAGTAGTTCATCTTTATTTCCGTCCAAGTGACTTGATATCAATTACTATACTTCGTGCGGCCCACCGTGCTACAAGAACTGGTTATGTGGTAACCAGTGAATTTAAGTGAAGTACAAGAACAGCTAGTAAGATAAGGGTGGGCAGTGTGAATAGAAATCATAGCCCTTACATTTAGAGTTTTTTTTTTTCTATTAGCCACTTAACAGCAATTAGCCATTTGGGCGGTCTAACCATATCTCGGGCATAGGCCCAGTTGGGTCTATGTCCCAATCTTTGAGTTGTTCCTCAGATGTTATTGCATTATGCTGGCGTGCTGTAGTGGCCAGGTGTCTTATCTTAGTATGGGCACACAAACGTAATGCGTGCATGTAGATATCTCACTCAGGAATGGTGGAATAGAAAACTCTCTCGTTTTTGTATATACAGTATTACCCGCCTTGGTTTCATAAGCGTTTACCGTATCGCTGGAAACTGAACTTTCATAGCGTTTTTTCCTGCGTATCGCGCGTGAGTGTCGGCTCGAGACTATTTTAGATTCGCCCACCCCCACCTGCCTGACTGCTTGTTTTAGCTCATAAAATTCATACTAAATTACCCAGCAGAATATAATTTACATTGCTGGAATTCTTACAATATGATGATCATTTGAATATAAACATCATAGATTTTGCATTAGACATACAAATTTTGAATATAAAGTTTATTCTGAGTAAATATATTTATTTTTGTGCAAATATGACATTTATATTCAAAATATTCCTGGAAGCACAAGGAATCCAGCAATGTCAATTATATTATCTAACTTTAGTTTGGTATTATTTATTACTAAAAGGGTAAATATTCTGGTTTTCCCACATCTGGTGGGGGAGGAAGGACAGACCAACCATCTGTTACAGTGTGAAGAATATTTTTTTTTTATTAACTGAAGATATTTGTTTAGCTCATAAAATTCATACAAATTACCGGTCAGAATATAATTTACATTGCTGGAATTCTTATAATTTGATGATCATTTGAATATAAACATCATAGATTTTGCATTAGACATACAAATTTTAGATGTAATGTTTACTCTTGAGTAAATATGTTATCTTTTGTGCAAAATATATGACATTATATTCAAATATATTCTTAGTCTTACAAGGAATCCAGCAATGTCAATTATATTATCTAACTTTAATCTGAGGTATTATTTAATACTAAATGTTAATTAGTTTTTCACCCAACATCTCTTGAAGGGAGGATTGGTGGGGGGTGGGGAGGTTGGGACTGACGTGGGGTTGGAAGAGGGTAAGGCAAGTTGGGGTACTGATTGACAGATAGTGTAGTGAAGAATTTTTTTTTTTATTAACTGAAGATATTTGTTTTAGCTCATAAAATTCATACAAATTACCCGGCCAGAATATAATTTCATTGCTGGAATTCTTACAATTTGGTGATCATTTTGAATATAAACATCTTAGATTTTGCATTAGACATACAAATTTTAGATATAATGTTTACTGAGTAAATATGTTATCTTTTGTGCAAAATATATGACATTTATATTCAAAATATTCCTGGTCTTACAAGGAATCCAGCAATGTCAATTGTATTATCTAACTTTAGTTTGAGGTATTATTAAAATTTAGTGGTTTTCCCCCAAAGATTTCTCAGGGAAAAGAGCCAGCAGTGTTGGGTGAAGAGGAGTGAGGTCATTATTTGAATGGACATTAACTTGTTGACTGTATTTCTCTATTTCTCTTAAGTATTAATTGTGTGCATGTACCATCATAAAATTAAGATGTTATTTTACTAGAACATAGGTATTGTGTGGGAAAAAGTGGAGTTTGAGGATGGGCAGTTTCTATTGGAATTTATCCCATATGTTCTGTTGTTCATAATGCGGTTTCACTTATACGGTACCCTGTGGGTTTATTGACCGCATTAAGCGGGGTACTACTTAATGTTGTACAGCACAGTGCTTAGGAGTGACTAGGTGGAGAAACTTGCTCCAGAGGTGTAGGGCGAGAGGTTTCTGAAGAAGCTGGGTGGTGGGCTGTGAGAGATGTTGCTGGTCGGTAGCGAGTGTAGAATGGTCCTGGCCAGGCATGGCGTGTTATACAATTTACGAGGATCAGGATTTGGGGTGGCGTGGCGGAAGAATGACTCCTGGCCGGCTTAGCGTAAAGT